GACACGAGGCGTGGCGCCGTTGACTGCTGTATAGTACAGCAGTCCATCACAAACCGAATATCGTTCGGTTAAAAAGCGGTACTAAGACGAAAAGCTATTCAAAGCTTGACTGCATGGAAAAGATACAAAATCCATCAATTGTAGATGAGACTCATCTTCTGTGCATGCTTTCCGCACGTCGTCGAGCAGATTCGATGACACTACATTCACTGTTGTGTCGCTACAGTGGAATCACCCCTACTGTTGGGTTGAGCAGAAGGCTCTAAATTGGGCCGACGTGAAAGAGCATCGGCAACTACATTGAGTCGTCCTGGTTTATACTCGACGGAGAAGTTATACTCCGCGAAGAAAGACAGCCACCTCGCCATTCGTTGCGAGAGTTGTTGGCTGTTTACGGCCGTGCGTAATGACGCAAGGTCGGTATGAACGATAAAAGGCCTATCTCCTAAGAGGTATATCCGAAACTTAGCCAGTGTATATTACATGGCAAGGAGTTCCTTGTCATGCACCGGATAATTTCGCTCAGCTGCTGGCAGATAACGCGATTGATAACAGATGACGCGCTCAACGCCGTCTGAGTCGTACTGCATTTGCGCGCAGCCGATAACATAATCGCTGGCGTCACAGACCACATGGAATGGTCTGTCTTGGTCCACAATCGCCAACACAGGCGATTGTATCTAGATTTTCTTGATGGCTTCAAAAGAGTGCACCGATCGCAACAGATTCGTAACACATCTGTTGAGCGTTGCAGGGGCATTACTTGTCCCTGTGGCATCGCTAGACACTCCCAGAGCATACCACTGGGGTTGCTCACTGCTGTGCACGGGATGTCCCGTTCACGAATGAGGATCTGATAGAATCCATCCATGAGATCCATGGACTAAAAGATGGTACTTTTTGCCATTCCATCAATGATGACGTCCTTCCTCAGTATCGGCGTTTAGCCGGTACCTTTGCAGCGTTCAAATTTGTTGAACGCGTGCACTATCCACCACCCTCCTGTGGCCTTCTCACACAGAAGGTTGAGAGCTGTCTGGGGATGTTGATTCTCTCACTTGACCAGCCACTAAAGCAATCGGAAAAGTATTTGTCGATCGCTGTGACCTGTTCACGAGGCAGTGGCCTTTGCTTCTTGACACAGTGCTTCGAACCGGGATTAGTTCGAACTCATGCCGAGTCCCTTTATCCTTGGGCAGCTCCCATGGCACGGATTCAGGCAAAACATTCCTGATTTCAACCAAATCCTAATACAAAGGATATGTCTTCAAAGACTCCTAAGATTGATACGTGTATCGCTCAATCCGGTTCTTCTCATCGAGGACACTCTCATCCATCGATAAGCGGCTGAGAATATGTTCGTTCTCAGTAAACACTTGTGTCGACCAAATATTGGCGACGCACTCCACCTCTGTGACGAGTACGCAGATCTGCGTGATCTTGTCACTACTCAGATATCGCAAGAATCAATTATATTCTAGCGTTGGCAACTTAATTATCTCCGAAGTTAGCTTTGAAGGTGTAACCAGATCAAGCGTATAAGCGCCTACACTTGATCCTGTATTCACCAAGATATTTACTGTCTCGGTGATTTCCTGGGAAATCACATCCGCAGGTGGTTGGGGATCCAAACCCTAAACAAAAATCTCTCGGAAGTTTTCACTCTCAGGAACGCTGAAACTTTCTTATAATACGTTTACTGACTGTGTATAAACTACAACGGTTACTTCCTCTTCGATCGACTCTCTTTCAGTCGATCGGACTTGCTCTACGACCGACTCTCTGATAGTGGATCTCGCATCATCGTGTTGTTCATCCTATACAACACGGATCTCTCTTCTTGGATGCACCCTTCTTGGTGTGCATTCGTGTTCCAGTCCACTCGATCTACTCGAGCGGTGAACCTTCGGCACAGCCTGTGTCTCTACACAGGTGCCGGAAGCTGGTCTCCACATTGTAGTGGCCTTCTACACTGTGGTCTTGTGCAGTCATACTAAAGACCGTACCGCAAGTGAGGCCATCGCACTCACTCATAGTACATCCAAACCCTTGTGGACGCTCCAAGACTCCCATCAGATGGTTATCTAATGAAAAAACGGCATGCATCGTTATGGATCGGTGCTGCCAGCTGATCCATGGCTGGTATTTTCTAAGCCATGGTAGACCGAGGATCTCATCAAATTTGTCATCCAAATCCAGTGCGATGAATTCGTTTTCGTACTGCTTTCCTTCTAGCGTGTAGTGGATTCCCACTGCACGTTTGTTCACTGTTACGGATGCTCCTGTAGCAAGGCACACCGTCATCCTCGTTGAAAGGAAATTTCGCTCAACGTAGTTGAGTCTAATATCTTCTAGCGACTGGCGTCGAATAAAACTGTTCGACGCTTCACAGTCAACCAGGGCGCAAAGTGACATTCCACTTGTCACTTAGATCTTCAGAGTTATTAGTGACAACTCATCACTTGGGGCAGTAACACACAGTGACTGTGTGTTGGGATCAATCTTCTTCAAGAGTCCTGCAAATTCTCTTGACGTTGCTGGATCAGCAGGGTGCTCCGCCTCTACTGACCCTGTCCAATTTTGACGGTCCGACTTGCTGTTGCGGCTTAGCGACATGGTCGGACCCACGCCTTGGACTTTTTCTTGGACAACGGTGGTCATCACGTCCTGACTTTGGACGTGATGCGGCGCTTATGACACTACACTCATGAGCGTTGTGTCCAATCTTCTGACAGCGATGGCATCTTGCCGCTCGCTTGTGACTCAGAGAGCGAGAGTTCTCGATATCGATATAACAGAGGCCCATTGGTTCGGGACCTCCTGTTTCCTGTCGCCTCGTCGGACGATAGTTGGACGAGTTAGCCTCAGACTGTCTCAGGCTGAAGTCTTCTTGTTCCGCATACACTATAGCCTTTTCTAGCGTATGGAAGTCCTCTCGGAACATATAGGTCTTCACCGGTCCATCCACAGGGCCGTAGATGAACAATTTGATGAGCGTGTGCTCATCAACAGGGTTTTTCGGAACGCTACTCGCAAGGTAGCGTAGGTGTGGTGCGTTAGCGTGCACGTCACGCTTAACTTGCTTTAGCCTCAAGAGTGCAGATCGTGCTCTGAACTCGGCTCTCGGCAGGTCAAACGTCTCTGTGAGTCGAAACTTTAAGATCTCCAACAACTCAAACACGTTTGGGTCGTGAAGCTTGAGCCCTAAGGCCCAAAACTTTTCTCGTCCCGTCAAATTGGACAGGGCGAAGGTGACTTGCATCTCGTCACCCTCGAAATGACGGGCCCTGATGGCATCGTCTAGCTCGACGAACCATCTCAAAAGGTAATCTTCATCGGTTCCCTTGTACCTTGAGATATCAATCTTTAAGGTTTCGGGTCGACGCATGTGCGTCGGTCCGCCCATCGACTGATGAGAGCCTTGCTGCTGTAGCAAGGCTATCTTCTGTCGTTTGACGGCAAGTTCCCCTTGTAGGAACTTGTTGATAGCAGTTTGTTGCTGGTCTCTGCCTAGAGACTCCAACATGCCACTGATGGCGGGTTTGCCCATGAGCACACTCATGCGGTCTACTATCCCCTATTATGAGCCACTCAGATGGGAGTAGCCTTCCCGTGTGACGTGAAAGATGTCGTCTTCTACGTCCAACACGAACATGTTGGACGGGCACTAAGTAGTCGTTGAACATTATACAAGGTGCTACCAGGTGTAACGGGGCACCCTTTGTTCAGGTTTTACGAGCGTGACGTACAACTGTGCTGAGTAAAGGGTGAAAAGAGAACTGTATCTAATATAGTTGAGCTATTTATGTAAATTCAGTATTTATCTAGCTATATTAAACTACGTCGTCGTATGACGACAACCTGCTCACCATTCTTTGCGCGCGTCTAGCAGCGATTGGTGGTAACCTTAGTTGATATGTCTTTTATCAACCAACCTTTGAGCAGCGCATGAATATTACCCTAAAAGGGGATACTGTTCCTTCAATTTTATCCATCTCGGAAAATATTGGTAGGGAACTGTCAAGCTAGACAATCTCCCTATTGACACCAAACGGTGTTAACATCACGTAACGGTCTACCCCGTTACAATTTGTGTACGGTGTGAGCGGTAGAACGATGCAGGTTCAGTGTCTGATGCAGTTGGATCCGCCGAGCGTAAACGGATACTTCTGGACGGCGACACGGACAATGCGATATCGCCTGCCAAGAAGACTTATTGGTCAGATTACGACGCTGATTTTGCTAGCGGGGGCAACACTTTTATGAAGCTGTGCGCGCAAGACCGCAACTGCGCTTCTCACTTCGAAGCCACCAGCTTGTCTGCCACGCTTTACCGTTTGCTCCAGAACTTCGATAGCAATCCCAACTCGACCTAAACCTCGCTGGTAGCAGATTCATCGGAGAAAGATCCAGCCGAGGCCCTACAATAAGCACTGGGCAATCGCCTGGTGAAGGCAAGCACGCGGTCCTTGATTCCGCCGTTAATGCACAGACTCAATCGATGCGATCCCAAAAAAGACGTCGATGTCTTGAAGATGTACATCGTGGCTGCCAACCAACAGACTTGGGCGCCGGAAAAGACTGAAGCCTTCTTTTTAAAGCCGCACGGCTTCCTGATCATGTTTTCTGAGCAGTGGAAATCACCTTTCCCTACCAACGCCGAATTGACCTGAGCATAGTAAACTACCTGGTTTCAGGGGCAACTACCTTTTTTTGGCCAATACACGAAAGAACGTGTGATGAAATACAGCTTGGCTACTACGAGGCGAATTCCATCTCATACCAACATGACAAGTTCGGGGGCAAGACTACTACTGTCTCCAGTCATGCCAGCGTGCTGCTGTTACTCGGACGGTTGGACCCAGAGAACCCTTACAAGCAAGGGGAATCATTTTTCAAGGCGCTCGACACTTCGAACAAGGAACTCATTGCATTTGACTCCGCGCCGATGAGTGACAATCAAAACGACCCCGTTTAGAGACGATGGCAAGAACTGCGGCATGGAGTTGGTACATTTAATCGTTCTCAATAACGCTGAGCATAAGCGCGTGGACAAGTCCTGCGTGGGTGAGATGCCGGTGCTCAACATGAAGGTGGCTCCTGAACTCCTGTCTACCTTCTTCGGCATTGAGGATGTGTACGACCGTTGTGCTCGAAACGACAACCCGCGCCGAGCACAACGGAAGAGTGAAACCGGCGTTTTGAGAAATTATAGAGGGGAAGGCAAGAGCTAACGCCGTAGGTCACTCAGATTCCAACGGCAAATAAAAATACACTGAGCAGCTCACATGCAATTTTGTTCTCTTTCGACAGCAGTGTCGATCCCTCTAACAGATAGACGCGTAGGCGCGCGAGCTCGCATCTGTACATCTGTGGCATACAGTTGCGCGTGCTTATACGTAAACAAAGACATGTAGAAAGGTGTCGCTAACCAACCCTGTCCAACGTCGTTGAGATCGAAGAGTGTGCTCGCTCTAATTATATAGATTGGCTAGCCACCGGAAGTGAGGAGGCAGATAGGAAGTTTTTGTTTTCAACAGCAAAGACAGCGTTGCTGCTGATCGCTTTACCACCAAGTTGAGCGGGTGTAAGATATCGATCAGCTCATGACGTTACACCTCCGCGAGTCTTACACTCTGCGTTGCATAGCACTCCATTTGCGGTGTATTTCATCATCAAGATTGCCTTGAGAATCGTTATCGAGGTCAGCATGTCAAACTTGCCGTGCTTTCGTCAATACTGGTGACATGATGCCCTCCTCAGCGCTTGAGCGTCAATCGCTTTCATGTGCCATTACATGCTGCAGACGCCTAGATTGTGCACATCAATTGTCATAAACTAGGAGCTTCTGTGCCTGTCGATCAGGGCAATATCATTCCTCTGGTGAGGGCAACTCTCGAGCAACCACAAGCTTCCCAAAGAAGCGAAGAAGCTGTGGCGACTGCATGTGGGGTCTTTAAAATCTTGAGGCTACGATACATATCACACTCAGTTATATTGCTGCAAGATGGATTTGTCGATGTTCGTACATCTTCCTTTTAATGCTTGTCGATTTCTTCAGAGTGGAGTTAGAAAAGTCCGGGTAGAGAGCCTTGCGCTGACCAGGCTGTGAGTGAGAAGGTGAGGTGTATTTAGGTACGCGTACGATCTACCGTATCCTGTCATTCGGCAACAAAGTTACCTGGTCGACCGCTACTTTACATACTAGGTAGCACTAGTCCTCGGACAGCCAGCGCGTCTACGCGCAGACTCCTGTCTCGAGATAATCAGGTTCCTCGAGGTTAGCACGGGGCCCTAAATTACGAGTTGACGTTCGGCTTGAGAGGTCTCCACTTAATGATTGACATGAGCGTTAAGGAAGGTCGAAGCATCCTGTCCCAGACCTGGGTTAGAGATAGCGTGCGTCTGAATAGAATCTCCCGTGTCCATAGCGATATTTGCCAGTCGATCCGCCATTTTGTTGAAGGTGCGATAATGATGTCCCCAGCTGGCGACATCAATATCGTTAGCGATGGCACGTGCTTCGTGAAATAACCGCACCAAGTGCGTCTTGCGTGGAGGGTGTCGTGTTCGGAGTTGCGAAAAAAGCACGAGCGCATTGTCTCCAATAACATGTAGGGGTGAGTAGTCGTCTGTCTTTGCTTGTCGAAAACCGTGCACGAGCACCAGTATTCAGCGACATTGTTAGTGGTATCGGCAGCGCCATTAGCCATACTTGATACCCTCAAAACGCATGCGGCGTGAGTCGGAACGCGTAGTCGGACAATCACAGATCCGGCTCCTCCTGGACCTGGTTTTCCGCAAGATCCGCCGTCAAAGAAGAGGAGGTAAGGCACGCCCGAGCACCATGACCAGGCTGTATTGCTGTCCGGTATATCTTCTCATAAGTGAACCTGAGTGATGTTGCAGTTCTTTGAGCGAGACCGACACGTGTGCTTGGATAATGTATCGTATGTGTCATGATTCGCTGACCGTCAACTGGTCCTCCACCTATTAGTTATACCTAACGGCTTCAACTTTAAGCCCAAGTTTCGGTTGAAAGTCGAGCTCGATACAAAGCCTGTTGATCAATCACCATCGTCTGTCGTGCAAAGGTTTTTGCCAGTTGCTACGCGGCAGATCTGTGACAGACCATAGCTTGCAGAGGGTCAGTCGGTTGTCCGGCTTGCGTGCTAGAGTGGCCACCTAGGTACTTAAAGGTCAAAGTATGAATGTAGTGAATGTAGTCCCTGTCACCACGTCGATGGGTTAAGCGGAAACCTAAATGAAGGTTTATCGGTTTTCTCTTGTCGTTGTTGCTCTCCAACATTAGCGGTAGTCGATTCTGGCGACGTCACTGGATCCAGTTTAGAACACTGGCGACTTGTGTCACCTGCTTGAAGTTATGTGCATATACTGCAGTTGTGATTTGTGACAATAAATGCTTCCTGTGCTCGCATGTGAAGCCGCGACATTGGGCTGACAGCTGGAATCTGGATTCTCTCCAAACACTGTCTGCTGCTGCCTCCACATTATTGCCTCAACATTTGTTATCGGTTGCTGGGTTTCTGGGGATGCTGACATGGCGGTTTGACCTTACATAAATGGATCGGTATTGTAACTAAGAAGCCTGGTTAGTAATGCTGGATCCCCGCATGAGTCCGGGGCGTGCCACCTTAACGACTGCTGGCACCAGAGGTGATCTTGTATATTGTCCTGTCCACCGCCGGTACTCCCGCTGCGCTACAGCTCGTAGCCAGATCATGCCTCTATCCCGTACTTCTTTGATGCTAACTTTCAGCGGTGACACACGCACGCGGGTACGTTTTCTTTTGACCTTCCAAGCTGGTGGTGCAAGTATTATCATTAGATGCCACATCCTCTCCGTCACGTGGTTTATGTATAATACACCTGGCAATAGACAGTATTACACTTTAAAGTACCGCGCACTCTGCGCATGTTCACATGTATGCAAGGCGCACTTGTGGAATTGCTGGATATGATGTTATGGTGGACGCAGTCAAACATTTGAGTACATTCGCTGCATGTGGTTTCACCAAAATGGCACGACCGTAGTACAACATTGTATAGCTCAGAAGCTAGCTTCCAGCGCAATATACGCTCGCAAACAAGAGGAAGCGAGAGAGTAGAGAATGAGCGGACGCAATGGTCCAGAATGGAGCGCATCGCTAGAAGGCCAGCTGAACAAAAGCCAAAAAACAAATTAGTCTCTTGTTTATACCGTTTGCTACCCACTCAATGAACTGGACATGCTTCTTAAATGGATCAGTTCACAGCTATAAACACGGGCCTGCGATAGATTGCCTGTGAGAAAAGCTGTGATCTCAACAGCTTTCAATGAGACTCTAGCTAGTCTTCGGTGGAAGGACGATCGCTCGGCAACTCCAATGGATCCGCTTTCTCTGATGCTGTCTGAGCTATCGAAAGCAGTTCTTGATGGTCAAGTCAATAGCTGATCCAGAAGGCGAATTTATCGAAATGTTCAGGATGCGGAAGCATCCGTGCGGCATTGTGCGTGCTGGAACACGGTTGGCAAGTCGGTGTGTGACGATGTATACTCGAGACGGAGTAATTTTAAATGTCGAGGGCAACACGTTGTCGCTCTAAAGTCGGATCTACATCGAAACCTGCACTCAACTCCCCGGAACAGGTCTCACAAATAAGTCGGTGGCAGCGTTTCGCTTGCATCTGCTAGCCAAATTTTGCTTCCAGTTGTCTGGACTCGAGACGTTGTTTGATTGCCGTCCTTCATACGACGGTGGCGACTTAAACTGAAGTCATGCACCAGCATTTTGTTTCTTGACCGCGGCGTTGTGCTTGTCCCTGTTCATGTCGACGTATATACGCTTGTCTGTGCATCTACCTGCAAGTGGCGGTTGACGATGTGTACAATGTAAGTGATCAAAACCACCGATGGCTCGACATCGAAACACCATGACGCAATTTCACACCCTCATTGCGGATGCCCAGAAATGTCTTTAAATACTACTTTCTACCTGAATAGGCAGCACGCCTGTGGTGAAGATGATCGTGCATGCAAGGCGACACTCGGTATCGTTGTTTTCTATCTGGTTACACCACAGCAGAGCTATGGTTACCAAAAAGCGCCACGAGCAATGGTCCGACCGAGTGTCTCACGACTTGGACGATGACAGCATAAGACAGACGTGCTCAAAAATGTCCCTCTATTATTCATAGCCGACTAGTGCTTTATAAACAACATGTGCCTGATCGAGCTCGGCCTCTCTCTCTCGATACACCTTCTCGTCGATAGTGCTCCAGCTAAAAACCAATCTCGTACTTGCGAATCATCTGCTGCTGCGACTGTGCGTCCGATCCGAAAGACGGTGCCACCGACTGCTGCGTCGACATCAGGTCATACGTTGACGACGACGACGAAGGGTTCACCGAAGAGCCCGGAGGCATCGATAGTGTGGCACCCGACTGGTTGAACCCACCGTGATTGTTGAGTCTGCTGTCGTTCAAACCGCCGTTGAACTGGCTGGTCCACAAGTCGGACTCGGCATCCGTCTGCGGATCGTACTTGATCACCGACTCGCTGCGGCGAGTCTCGTTGTTGGAATGTACCATCCACGCGCGGATGTATGTACTGAAAACGATGAGCTGGCGCACAAACCAGAGCAGGATCACAATCGAGTTGATGCCAACGTAAGCGTGAGCCATGTGCGTCCGAACTGCGGCCGACATGGTGTTCGAGTTCAGGAATGCAAACGCCAGACCAAAGTTCAGGATCTTGAGCAGTCCCAGAGCGTAAGTAACGCGAAGCACCATTTGTTCCGCAAACGGTGACAAAATGAAGACACATGCTAAGTACAGCGCTTGAATACCCATGACGACAATCAGCTGAGTCGGGTCGCCCGCTGAAGTGCCTACGAGGATACCGGTCGTGATCTGCACGACCACGTCGATCACAAAAAACATCCGGCTGTGGTAAGTGTACTCACAGTAGAGCGAACCCCACGTGGCCAAGTTCTCAAACTGCTCCAGCTCGTCCTTTGTCTTGTGCATGATCACACGCCCAGCAACAGCCAGCACACCAAAACACACCAGTACCAGGGCGACAATAGCCACTACCAGCGCATTGGCAACCGCGGAAGCCTGGACCTGCATCGAAATCTCAAACGACGATAGCATGCTTAGCGGGAAGAGCGCAAAGTACCAAACCAACACACACAGTCCAAGTGCACGGATGGACACGCTGCGGAGACGGTGTACACCAGACGTGTAGTTATTCAAGTCCGAAGACTCATCCAGTGCGCGCTCTGCCTTACGCTTGGCCATCACAGCCAGCACCAGGAAGACGACCAGGAGGACGGCCATAATCACGGCAAATCCAATGACGCTCCGCGTCAAAATACTCCCCTCCGAGATACCAATACGGTCAGCGTACGATACAAGGCCACCCAGTACAATCGTTTCTAGGCGACGCGACCCAGTCGAGACACTGGACGAATCCTGAATCAAGAAATTGCTCCACGCAAATGAATCCGTGTAGTCCCACAAAAAGTACGGAGACTTGAGAAGCGTTAGCTCCGACGCAGCCTGCATCTGCTGCAAGTAGCCGACGTAGAACAAGAACTCCCACGTATTCGGGCTCCACGCAGCATTCACCCACAACAGGTTGGCATCAAGCGAAACAAAGTGGAAGAACAGGAGCAACGCCACCGAGATACCTGCAAATGCCACGGACGCGTAGCGCAAGAAATCATGGAAGGCCGCAGCTGACGCTGACAGTGCTTCGTTGTCATCCGTGTCCACGTATGTGTTACGACCTCCAATCACGTTGGTACCCGCAGCACCAGGTTCATCAGAAAGGGCCGTCTTGCCGCGGACGTAAGTCATTACGTCATCCAAACCACCCTTACCCCTGTCTCCCGCGATGTTCAGCACAACCGGCGCCTCAGTCGAAGCAATGATATCAGGGATAGCGAACGGGTCATACGAATCGTTTTCGATCGGAAGGGGCTTGGCAGATTCATCATACATCACCACGTCGGACTGAATTTGCTCAATCTGCTCCAATACGTCCTGCTCCGATACGTCCTGCTCCGATACGTTTTGCTCCTCCACGTAATCCGGGTTCGTCTCTATGGCAATTGGTGACTTAATCGCTGGTGGCGTCTTAATCACAAACCCGGTCTTGCGCGTACCATCAGCGTCACCGGAATCGCTCGGAGGCGCTGCCACAGGAGCCGGTGACTCTATATTTTCGCTAGTGGACAGGTCTGACGAGACGCTAGGGTCACTCGTCTTGGACGGCTTCTCCAAGGATGGTTTCTTGGTCGGAGTAGAGGAAGACTCCGTTGACGGAGACTCCATCGACGGTTTGACGGTGGATCTAGTGTCAGGTAATGTATTTTCTGTCGACGTAGTCTCAGTCTTCGGCTGCAATGTCTCAGACGTCGCCGGTACCGGTATACTTGTAGCAGTTGGCACAGCGGTGTTCGACGGCGTGTCATGCGCGACATCCACTTTCGTCAAATCTTCATTAGGTGTCAAAACTGGTGACGGCAAAACCAGGTCGGTCACGGGAGGTAGCACAGATGGCAAAGCCGATGGCGGCATGTCCGAACCAGATTGTTCTTCTTTTGGTGGCGATGGCGGCAATAACAGGTTGGCCACGGGAGGTAGCACAGATGGCAAAACCGATGGCGGAGCCGATGGCCGCCCATCAGGACTGCTAGTTTCTTCTTCTGGTGGCGATGGCGGCGATACCAGGTTGATCGCGGGAGGTAGCAACGATGGCAAAGCCGATGGCGGAGCCGATGACGGCCCATCAGAACTGCTAGTTTCTTCTTCTGGTGGCGATGGCGGCGATACCAGGTTGATCGCGGGAGGTAGCAACGATGGCGAAGCCGATGGCGGAGCCATGACGGCCCATCAGGACTGCTAGTTTCTTCTTCTGGTGGCGATGGCGGCAATACCAGGTTGGCCACGGGAGGTAGCAACGATGGCGAAGCCGATGGCGGCATGTCAGAACCAGATTGTTCTTCTTTTGGTGGCGATGGCGGCAATAACAGGTTGGCCACGGGAGGTAGCACAGATGGCAAAGCCGATGGCGGAGCCGATGACGGCCCATCAGGACTGCTAGTTTCTTCTTCTGGTGGCGATGGCGGCGATACCAGGTTGATCGCGGGAGGTAGCAACGATGGCGAAGCCGATGGCGGCATGTCCGAACCAGATTGTTCTTCTTTTGGTGGCGATGGCGGCAATAACACGTTGGCCACGGGAGGTAGCACAGATGGCAAAGCCGATGGCGGAGCCGATGACGGCCCATCAGGACTGCTAGTTTCTTCTTCTGGTGGCGATGGCGGCGATACCAGGTTGATCGCGGGAGGTAGCAACGATGGCGAAGCCGATGGCGGCATGTCCGAACCAGATTGTTCTTCTTTTGGTGGCGATGGCGGCAATAACAGGTTGGCCACGGGAGGTAGCACAGATGGCAAAGCCGATGGCGGCATGTCCGAACCAGATTGTTCTTCTTTTGGTGGCGATGGCGGCAATAACAGGTTGGCCACGGGAGGTAGCACAGATGGCAAAGCCGATGGCGGAGCCGATGGCCGAACATCAGACTTAGTTCTTCTTTTGGTGGCGATGGCGGCGATACCAGGTTGATGCGGAGGTAGCAACGGGAGGTATGTCCGAACCGATTGTTTTCTTTTGATGAATAACACGTTCACGGAGGTAGCACAGATGGCAAAGCCGATGACGGCCCATCAGGACTGAAAGTTTCTTCTTCTGGTGGCGATGGCGGCGATACCAGGTTGATCGCGGGAGGTAGCAACGATGGCGAAGCCGATGGCGGCATGTCCGAACCAGATTGTTCTTCTTTTGGTGGCGATGGCGGCAATAACAGGTTGGCCACGGGAGGTAGCAACGATGGCGAAGCCGATGGCGGCATGTCCGAACCAGATTGTTCTTCTTTTGGTGGCGATGGCGGCAATAACACGTTGGCCACGGGAGGTAGCACAGATGGCAAAGCCGATGGCGGAGCCGATGGCGGCCCATCAGGACTGCTAGTTTCTTCTTCTGGTGGCGATGGCGGCGATACCAGGTTGATCGCGGGAGGTAGCAACGATGGCGAAGCCGATGGCGGCATGTCCGAACCAGATTGTTCTTCTTTTGGTGGCGATGGCGGCAATAACAGGTTGGCCGCGGGAGGTAGCACAGATGGCAAAGCCGATGGCGGCCCATCAGGACTGCTAGTTTCTTCTTCTGGTGGCGATGGCGGCGATACCAGGTTGATCACGGGAGGTAGCAACGATGGCGAAGCCGATGGCGGCATGTCCGAACCAGATTGTTCTTCTTTTGGTGGCGATGGCGGCAATAACACGTTGGCCACGGGAGGTAGCACAGATGGCAAAGCCGGTGGCGGAGCCGATGGCGGCCCATCAGGACTGCTAGTTTCTTCTTCTGGTGGCGATGGCGGCAATAACAGGTTGGCCACGGGAGGTAGCAACGATGGCGAAGCCGATGGCGGAGCCGATGGCCGCCCATCAGGACTGATAGTTTCTTCTTCTGGTGGCGATGGCGGCGATACCAGGTTGATCGCGGGAGGTAGCAACAGATGGCGAAGCCGATGGCGGCTTCGACCATTGTTTTTTTGGTGATGGACAATAACAGGTTGGCCACGGGGACACAGATGGCAAAGCCGATGACGGCCCATCAGGACTGAAAGTTTCTTCTTCTGGTGGCGATGGCGGCGATACCAGGTTGATCGCGGGAGGTAGCAACGATGGCGAAGCCGATGGCGGCATGTCCGAACCAGATTGTTCTTCTTTTGGTGGCGATGGCGGCAATAACAGGTTGGCCACGGGAGGTAGCACAGATGGCAAAGCCGGTGGCGGAGCCGATGACGGCCCATCAGGACTGCTAGTTTCTTCTTCTGGTGGCGATGGCGGCGATACCAGGTTGATCGCGGGAGGTAGCAACGATGGCGAAGCCGATGGCGGCATGTCCGAACCAGATTGTTCTTCTTTTGGTGGCGATGGCGGCAATAACACGTTGGCCACGGGAGGTAGCACAGATGGCAAAGCCGGTGGCGGAGCCGATGGCGGCCCATCAGGACTGCTAGTTTCTTCTTCTGGTGGCGATGGCGGCGATACCAGGTTGATCGCGGGAGGTAGCAACGATGGCGAAGCCGATGGCGGCATGTCCGAACCAGATTGTTCTTCTTTTGGTGGCGATGGCGGCAATAACACGTTGGCCACGGGAGGTAGCACAGATGGCAAAGCCGGTGGCGGAGCCGATGACGGCCCATCAGGACTGCTAGTTTCTTCTTCTGGTGGCGATGGCGGCGATACCAGGTTGATCGCGGGAGGTAGCAACGATGGCGAAGCCGATGGCGGCATGTCCGAACCAGATTGTTCTTCTTTTGGTGGCGATGGCGGCAATAACACGTTGGCCACGGGAGGTAGCACAGATGGCAAAGCCGGTGGCGGAGCCGATGGCGGCCCATCAGGACTGCTAGTTTCTTCTTCTGGTGGCGATGGCGGCGATACCAGGTTGATCGCGGGAGGTAGCAACGATGGCGAAGCCGATGGCGGCATGTCCGAACCAGATTGTTCTTCTTTTGGTGGCGATGGCGGCAATAACACGTTGGCCACGGGAGGTAGCACAGATGGCAAAGCCGGTGGCGGAGCCGATGACGGCCCATCAGGACTGCTAGTTTCTTCTTCTGGTGGCGATGGCGGCGATACCAGGTTGATCGCGGGAGGTAGCAACGATGGCGAAGCCGATGGCGGCATCCAACCAGATTGTTCTTCTTTGTATGGCAATAACACGTTGGCCACGGGAGGTAGCACAGGAAAGCCGGTGGCGGAGCCGATGACGGCCCATCAGGACTGCTAGTTTCTTCTTCTGGTGGCGATGGCGGCGATACCAGGTTGATCGCGGGAGGTAGCAACGATGGCGAAGCCGATGGCGGCATGTCCGAACCAGATTGTTCTTCTTTTGGTGGCGATGGCGGCAATAACAGGTTGGCCACGGGAGGTAGCACAGATGGCAAAGCCGATGACGGCCCATCAGGACTGAAAGTTTCTTCTTCTGGTGGCGATGGCGGCGATACCAGGTTGATCGCGGGAGGTAGCAACGATGGCGAAGCCGATGGCGGCATGTCCGAACCAGATTGTTCTTCTTTTGGTGGCGATGGCGGCAATAACTTTGCCGGGGGGTAGCACAGATGGCAAAGCCGGTGGCGAGCCGATGACGCCCATCAGAACCTAGTTTTTCTTCTGGTGGCCAGGGGGATCCGGTTTTTATCGGGAGGTAGCAACGATGGCAAAGCCGGTGGCGGAGCCGATGACGGCCCATCAGAACTGAAAGTTTCTTCTTCTGGTGGCGATGGCGGCGATACCAGGTTGATCGCGGGAGGTAGCAACGATGGCGAAGCCGATGGCGGCATGTCCGAACCAGATTGTTCTTCTTTTGGTGGCGATGGCGGCAATAACAGGTTGGCCACGGGAGGTAGCACAGATGGCAAAGCCGGTGGCGGAGCCGATGACGGCCCATCAGAACTGCTAGTTTCTTCTTCTGGTGGCGATGGCGGCGATACCAGGTTGATCGCGGGAGGTAGCAACGATGGCGAAGCCGATGGCGGCATGTCCGAACCAGATTGTTCTTCTTTTGGTGGCGATGGCGGCAATAACAGGTTGGCCACGGGAGGTAGCACAGATGGCAAAGCCGGTGGCGGAGCCGATGGCGGCCCATCAGGACTGCTAGTTTCTTCTTCTGGTGGCGATGGCGGCGATACCAGGTTGATCGCGGGAGGTAGCAACGATGGCGAAGCCGATGGCGGCATGTCCGAACCAGATTGTTCTTCTTTTGGTGGCGATGGCGGCAATAACAGGTTGGCCACGGGAGGTAGCACAGATGGCAAAGCCGGTGGCGGAGCCGATGACGGCCCATCAGGACTGCTAGTTTCTTCTTCTGGTGGCGATGGCGGCGATACCAGGTTGATCGCGGGAGGTAGCAACGATGGCGAAGCCGATGGCGGCCCATCAGGACTGCTAGTTTCTTCTTCTGGTGGCGATGGCGGCGATACCAGGTTGATCGCGGGAGGTAGCAACGATGGCGAAGCCGATGGCGGCCCATCAGAACTGCTAGTTTCTTCTTCTGGTGGCGATGGCGGCGATACCAGGTTGATCGCGGGAGGTAGCAACGATGGCGGAGCCGATGGCGGCATGTCCGAACCAGATTGTTCTTCTTTTGGTGGCGATGGCGGCAATAACACGTTGGCCACGGGAGGTAGCACAGATGGCAAAGCCGATGGCGGCCCATCAGGACTGAAAGTTTCTTCTTCTGGTGGCGATGGCGGCGATACCAGGTTGATCGCGGGAGGTAGCAACGATGGCGAAGCTGATGGCGGCATGTCCGAACCAGATTGTTCTTCTTTTGGTGGCGATGGCGATGGCGGCGATACCAGGTTGGTGACCGCTGGTGGCAACGGCAGCGGATCCAATGTTGGTGTCGGCGGCAATTGGTCGATGACGGGAGCCACGACCGACTGCGGACCATCTGTCGTCGAAGACGGCGGCTCCTTCTTCTCGGCTGACTCCTCTCTCTCCGGTGACGGATTCGACGACGATGGAGTGGCTTCCGGCGTCGTTCTTTTCGACTCGGTTACTTCTTCTAAGGGCTCCTCCACGGGCGTGTCGCGCGTAACGGGGTCCAGGTCGACGTCCGTGTCAAGGCCAAGCAAGAGCTTTCGCTCGATTCGCTCTCTCTCTGCCCCTACTGCAGAGGCCTGTGCCCGAGCGACGAGCGCAACAGCCAGCGCCGATAGCAATAGAATGCGCGCCGCGCGCACGTGGACCATGGCTCTCTGTCCTGTGTACCGGTCGGTCGAATTGAGTGTACGTCTGCGAGGGCGTGGGCGTCGTGTGTGCTTGATAGTAACTGATGAGCGATTGATAGAATGATAGGCGCGCGAGTGGGCGACGTGCACATCGAGGAATCGATCGTCGTCTCTAGAGCGAGACAAGAGTAGGGGGGGCAAGGGAGAGAGCAGTAGCAGCAGTCACAGAGCAGGGGAGGCATCGTATGCTCGCTGCCTCATGACGTTGACAGGTGGTATCTACGGACATCCAGAGTCGGGGGGAACTGACTCCTGGTACAGTGTACCGTCACACCGACAAGTCGGTGGGCGCTAAAACTGGTCAGCTCGGTTGTCAACAGTGCGACCGCTCGCTCGAAGCGGTTAGGGCTAGCGAGGCGTACATTGCGGTTTCCTTTCTCATAAAAATCGACCTGCACCTTCTGCTGCGGGTGCCGCAGCGCGCGCGTGCTGTCGCCCGTCCTTTTTCTGGTGTCGTTTTTCTCGTTACTGGGACACGAGTGGTCACGATGGTACGATAGCAACGTGGTAGCCAATCGGCCACAACCACTTGACGTCTTTTTATCCAAACGAAAGACAGGCATTTTTGTCGTACCGGATGCTGTCGAGACCCGACCAGTTTGACATGTCCGTGACAGAGGGTAGGACATGCAACCTCTTCTTGCAATGTAAAGCGAGACATGTGCGCAATGCCGTGATAGGAACGCAGCTGCAAAGCACTGGCGCTACCACCGATCATAGTTTCACGAAGAGACACACTGCTGTCGTCACTATCACCTCCTCTTCACATTCCTCATTCGTCACGTCTGCACTTGAGATCTTGACCAGCGCTGCACGTGACACGCGATCGAATGCTGTACTGGCGCTCTCAGTTGTACTTCACAGCGCTCCAAGTCGCAGTGGCTACGACGTCTTTAGGCTCCTGATGGTGTCATTGAAAAAAGGACCCTCGAACGGTATCGACAAGTCTCCAGTTAGTTGCTCGTGTTGAAGTATCCAGCGACACAACCACATGTCCGTCATCAGAAGAAAAAAACGGTTGAAACTGCAACTTGTCACTGCATCAGAACAAAAAAGCGTAGCCATATCGGTGAGTCGCGACCCTTGACAGATGCTTTTTTTTTACAAATGAGCTCGCTGCAAAAAGCTCCGACTGACCTACGACCTTGAGCTCACGGCCTTGACACTCTCGATTGTCTCATCCTGCTGCACGTACAGACTTCGATGCCGGCCAAACTTGACGCCCCAGAGCGTGAACCCTATTGCTGCCGCGAACACGGCGGCAACGGAGAAGAACACGAGCGCTTCGAACTGACTGGGATCGTGGAAAACGACGCCCATCAGCTGAATGAGTATGTAAAACAACTGGCACGTAGCCGTCTGCATTGCATTGATGGCCCCGCGACGGCCGGGCTCAACCCATTCCTGCATGAGCTGCGTCTGGGCAAGATCCGCACTCCAGAGCCACATGCGTGCGCCAACCATGCAGCTCAACATGACGTGGTCTGACACGCGTGACTCACCGACGAGCATTAAGAGCAGTACTACTGGCACAAGGCTCAACCAAACCAGCCAGATACTCAATACTGCAACCCGCTCCAGTTGGACAATGGCACGTCGCAAGTATGGAAACAGCAACGTGCCCAGAAGCCCGAAGACTGCACCGACACCACGACTTAAGCCCAAGAGCGAGTTGGGTACACCCCGCCACTTGAGGTACGCTGTGTTTAGCGAGCCATTGTCGAGGACCGTCATATATAGAGCGCAGTAGGAAAAGCTCAGCAGGAATACCGGATGCCGCGTGAAGTGTCTCCACTGTGCCGCGTAGCTTGACAGCGCACTTTGACCATCAGCTGCGTCTTGCAGCTGCTGGTACTCTTCGGATTCCGAGTCTTTTTCCTTATTTGATAGCTCAGGTACAAGCCGGTAAATGTCTCGCATCATGAAGTACTCAAGTGGAGTGGAGAGGCAGTTCCAGATTGCCACTGTTGATGCGCCGATCATGACACGCGTGGTGGAATTGCGACCTGCATAATCGACGATGAAACCGAATGCAAGAGGTCCCAGCAGTTTACACGCGAGATCGATGCGCCGGAGGGTAGTGTTGAGGCCTGCCAGTGCATCCGAACGCTTTGATCCACCGTCCTGTGCTATGATCACGACCCAGTCGCGCTCAATGCTCAGTGTCTGTGCCTCGCTAAGCACCTGGCCCACTCCGCCACAAACGAGCGTGCCGGCAAACAATAGCATCAACGACCATGTGCATTTTGGTTTGTGCAGCCCGTCCGCGCCTGTCAAGAGCAGTATGGCTCCCACCAGCACAGCACTAGCGACAATCATGATGTTTTCCAGCACGATAGCGAGTCGCATGACCTGCCAGCGATTTCCAGCATCAAGTTGTCTTCCTACCGATGGTATTGCGACGAGGCACGTTGCGTACACGACGAGTGAGAAGCACGCACTGGGCAGCAACGTGTCGACGAATATCTCCATGAAGAGCACGGGGACAGCAAATTGCCACATGCGATCACCCTGCAGCGAAGAACAAACCAGTTACTCATCAACAACAAGATCCTCGCGACGAGTCCATAATTTGTAACTAGCCACATACATACCCAGGAAGACAGCAAGTGTGCAGCATAAAGGTACACCCGCACTCGTCGAGGCTGTCTCCGTGAACGCAATTGGCCGCATTCGATCTGCTGCTCTTCCAGTCTGTCACAATTGATACCAGTCAGCCAACCGTTGCGTCTTCACACCGAACCAGGCATCAACTTGCAGCGAGTGACTTTGTTCCAGTTTGTCAGTAGTGTCGTTGCTGTCAGTCTTCGCAGCATACAGACAGCCAATGACCGGCACCAGTAACGACACGCCAATGATGAGCGTCACAATGCTGCTAGATGGTGTCAGTAGGCACGCGTTCTCCACGTTCAGCAAGCAAGCTGCGCATCATCACAAACACCAGGCCCACATGTCATCAGATGGTCAACAGTGATAGCCCCACGCAACGTAGACCACACAAGCAAGTACCTGTTCCATCCGCAATCAGCAGCACACTGGTGACGCCCACCGACACACACACGAACATCGTCGGCTCCATCTATAACTTTTCAAACGTTCCGGGTCCAGGAGCGCGCGAAATCGGTTGGTATGGTTTATGGTCCAGCTCCATAATTTAAGATGACTTTCACCCGACATACGGGACGCTCAGCTGGTGCTGCACACATATGATTACTTCAAGGATCGTTTCGCGCAACGTAACTGTCGCTTCAGTAGCTCCAGAGGTTGAGGTGATGATCATCGACAATTACTAAATGATCGGATCGCGGTCGCGCGTCGCAAATCAAACGGACACCACAGCGCGTATTCGTCATGACGATCTTGTCACTGTCTTTTCTGCGCGTTGAGGCTTTCTTCATGACGCTCCCCGCCCGGGACGCCAAGTCGGCGTAAATAGTCGCACGGTTACTATTAATAGAGCCGACCACAGTCCGAATGTATTGATAACGACGTAATCATGATACGTCTCTGTCCTTGATACGTCTCTGTCCTTGATACGTCTCTGTCCTTGATACGCTGTCCCATTGAACGCCACCTGCCATCGGGTACATCAATTGTACATCATGTACCCATTTGCTGCCCGAACGATTCCGGACCATGCACGCCCCCGGCTCGTCGACCACGTCGTCGTCCGAAGATGAGTGGGCGTTGCGCGCTACCTTGCGCCTCTGCGGCAGCGTTCCTCCTCCCACATACGCGGACCTCCGCACGACCGCCCACCTGCAAACGTTCGACGTGCGCGACGGCAGCGCAGCGCTCTGGAGCGACAGCGGCAAGCTCTTCCTCGTCGACGTGTTCCCGCAGAGCCACGCCAGGTCAAAGAAGACGCCACTACTGAGACACGTGCTTCTCGATCCGCCGCTATTGCCTCACGAAGCATCCGAAGTGGAGCAGATCAAGTTCAACACCAGTGGTTCGCAAGTTCTGCTGCTGGCCAAGAGCTGGCTCAAGGTGTTGCGGCTGCCGGTTGATACCAAGCGCAAGGCGTTGAGTCTACAGCGCAGATCAGGGGATGGAAGCACGCTCAGGTACCTCGTTAGGTACGAGGATGGAAGTGAAGAAGGCGTTGTTCTGGAGGAAGACGAGCTACAGGATCTAGATGACGTACGAGAGCAGATCGAACGGCGTGCTGCTGCGGATAAGCGCGTGGCGTTCATCTCTCGGGAACAGGGTGTAGCAGGCGTGCGAGCGGTCGGGTACTTTACCAGCGTGTGTCACGCGGCGTGGCATCCGCTAAGCGACACGCACGTCGTCGTGCTGTCAGATGCAGAGGAGATCGAGGTGTTTAACTCGCAGCAGGACGTGTCCAAGCCGGAACAACGTCACTGTCTGGATTTTCCTGCGAAGGCACGGGCGACCAGAGCGGTCTCGGTGTGCTTCAGCTTCGGTGCTTCCGCTAACCTTCGACAGCACCAAGCCGTGCAGACGCAAGCCGTGCAGATCTGGGATGCGTTCACGTGCTATGTGCTGCGATCGGACGGCGCGGTGTACGCACTTTGCCCGTTGGTACCTTACAATTGCATTGTGAGCAAGACGTTTTATCAGAGTTTGGCCAGCGAAGTGGATGCGCAGATTGCGATCTGCAAGAAGGATATGAAAGCTAACAGCACCAGTGGACAGCAGACTCGCCTCCTTCTGTTAAAGTCACAGAAATACTGGCTGCAGGAAGGGTGGGCGCAAGCGAACACGCGACGCAATAGCCTCCCACCTGGTGGACGAGCACGGCTTGTCCCTGCTGAAAAGGACGCTGTCGATCTTGATGCGTTCTGCTACGTGAGCCCTCATGTGAGCGGCATCTCGCCAAACACGTGGCCGCTGGCTTTACAAGGACCCATGGACGTGACCCCTCAGTCAATTGTCGAAGGCAAAAACCAAGTGTCAGGAGGGTCTTCTGCGACGTCACTGCTTGCGGTACCCCATGCTTCATGCAACACTGCCGATAATCTTTCTGCCAGCACATCACCCTTCCTGATGCGTACATTTACGTCAGGCCACGTGGAGCTGATTCTGCTAGACGCGCCTATCCGACCGCAGTGGAAAAGCCAACGCCAGCCAACAGCAGCCACGACCGTGCGCAACCCCACAGCACTACTGTTGGAGTGTCTTAACCTCGGTATCGACGATTCTGGTGGTAAGGCTGTGCTTGAGCGGGACGCGGCTGACCCGCGACTGGTCTATTGCCTGCACTCGACCGGCGTGCATGTGATCAACGTCAGTTGGGTCTTCGCGCTCGCCTCGGGCAAGCAGTTCACGACGTTGCCGAAAAGCTCCGTCCGTCACGTCTTCAGCGTGTCACCGAACAGCACGGGTTCTTCGCGGGTTGCACCTGCTGTCCCTGGTACTGTGGTTTCGAATGTTGTTGGTGCACGTGTTGTAAAGAACGTGAATTTCGGGCACTTGCTGCTGCTCCGCCTCGCGTCGGGCAGCTTTGAAGTCGTGAACGTTAGTGCGGCGTCGAGTGAGCTACTGAAAGGAATGCTTGCGGACAGCCATAGCGCCAACAGAGATGGGCAGAGTCCACAAAAGACGTTGCCCGGCACGTTGGCATCCATGGCGAATTCCAAGTCACGGGCTCCAGTGACGAGCAGCTCAAGCGATGGCAGGATCCAGCCATTCGGAGATATCGTTGCAGCAAAGTTGGAGGCTCTTAGTGCGCGTGGAACCAGGGTTACCGGCCACACGTTGATGCACGAGATCGACGACGCAGTGCTTGCGTTTGTGCTGGAGCGCGTGAAGATCTTGTACGAGGACGTCGAGTACGTCGACGAGATGGATCAGCTCATCCGTGACCGACTCCAGTTGCATGCCACGATGGTAAAGACGCAGACCGAGAAACTGCTGCATGTGCAGGAAACCGTGGACGACGCTCGTGCATTTATGAAGGAGCTTCAAGGGAAAGCGGAGCGCGCGCTGGCGGTACAACAGAACCTCAGCAAGCGGGCAGCAGCTGTGCTTCAAGCAGTGAAGGAGAACCAGCCACATTTGTCGCGTGCCGAGCGCGAGTTTAACGATGAGCTTGAGCTGATGGCTGTGGAGGTTCGTCGGATGAAGTCTCGCGTTGCTGAGTTGACGGTGCAGGGTCAGCGTGCAGTGCGATCCCTGGAGAGCTCGGGCACTTCGGCGCCTCCTTCGGGTCGATATTATAGTCCGCTCAGTGGCACCGGGAGCAGCCAATCTTCGGTGCTTTCGGCCGAGAAGAAACAAATGTGCTTCGATGTGCTGCGCGCGGAGACGCAGTTGATTGACGATGCAAAGGCGATGCTGGAAGATCTGAGTGCGAGTCTGCAGCAAACGAAGGAGTAGGTAGGAGCTGCTGTAAAAACCGAGAAGGTAATACACGAGACGCGTCCTTTGCTCTTGATATAGCGTACCCCGCAACGGGATTCGGTTTTACTCGGTTATCCGCTTTTCACATGACGTAGCCGCGTGCTAGTGCTTCGTATTACGACAAGGTGCTAAGCTCAGAGGACCATGCGGGCCGAGAGTGGCCGCTCAGTTCTGTAGTTTGCTGCAAGGCAATGGTCGTGGATGGAGTGCAGCTTGCAGCGTGCGCGGGGGAGAAGCGTACGTGCGGGTCCAGCTCGACCAGTTGGCGTGACTCGCTGCGGTTTGTTCCGAAGAAGAGCGATTGTTTGTGTGCGTGTGTGGGGGACGCACCTACCCTCTCACTCCATCCATTGGTATTTATACCTCCTCGAGGTGACAGTCTGGCACGTTCGGTCTCGAGCGGGTCGCGATGGAGATGGGTACACACGGATGTCAACTGCCGGAAATGAAAAGATGCGACGGTAGACGTTGCGTTTCGACAGATGGTTTATCGATCGTGTGTGTGACTGCCTCTTCTACACATGGCTGCATGACAGCAAGGACGAACGAGCAGAAAGGAGTCTTTGGGTCCCGCTTTTTGCTTTTTGTCCGTCGTTTTTTTACTTTTCTGTTCTTTGCTTTTTGCCGCTTGTTCCTCGCTTTTTCGACGTCGTGTTTCCAAGTCGCTTGCATCGAGCGAAAAAGTGCTTTCTAGCGGTTCGCCTGACTTTCCCTTGAAGTTGCTGCAAAAGTTCAACTGAACAGGAATTCCATCGCGGCAGCGCACGCCCAGATTTGACAGAGGATTCCATGGGCTGCCTCAGCGCATGCGTGGGCTGGACGGCCGCTCCACTGTCGCATGTCGCATGGAAGAAAGCTGTATCACGCTCTATGAAGCTCGCTTAGGCGCTACAGCTTGCCGCTGCTTGCGGCGACAAAGGACTGCTCAGCTAGGCCAACCATTGGTTTCACTGGCGCCCAATGCTTGTCACACATGTAATCGCATTACGGCGACGCGAGTATGTAGCAGCTAGTACAATACCTGCCGAAGCGGTGGGGGATAGACTATGAGGGACTACACAAATGATGCGCTGTTGCCGTGCTGATGGTGGTTAGCTGGTGCGATCGAGCAATTGGTCGCCGTCCAGCTGCTTCTCCCAGCCATGAGACGCTGCAGACAAAACCGAGCCAGACGTGAGTTGTTTGGCTGAATAGGCGTTTTCTTTACGTGGGTTTACAGGCGCCCCGTCGCTCTTCCCAAACTGACCCGATATCAAGTCAGCCGCGCATTCGGGAGCTCGCCCAGTCGACAAGTTCCCCCTCGAATGGAAAGTGACTGGAGGACAATCCGTCACTCCGAGTTCTGCCCCCGCGTTTCTGTCCGCTCGAAAGCTGCTGCTGCTGCTGCAGCATTTCGTCCTCCGCGTGACTTCGTTGTCGAGTGCCGTTCGACTGTGCCTGCACGTGGTTTCACTTTCTCGACCTAGACGACCACCACCACCGCCACTTCCACCGCAGACAGTTCCTCCTCCTACCACGCCATACTGACACACATCGAAATGAAGCGCAACTTCGGGTCGCTCAACCTCACGGCACTCGACATGAACAGACCCAGTGCTGACTGCAGCCTTGAAGACCGCTTCTCGGCATTGGGATCCAGTGTGGAAGACCATAGTCTCGACGCTGGCTTCGAATACGGTGGCGATGGCAACGTGGGCTTTCCCTTGGAGCATTTCCACGGATTGGTCACGGACCTGAGCGTCCAGTCACTGTGCTGTGGGTCCTCACAGGACGTGGACACGGACATGGAGGAGACCTCATTCGAGTCCATTGAGTCAGCGTTCCAAGCACGCAGTGAGGACGGCAGCGGACGTCTGCGACAGGTGCACTGCCCGACGTCACCCGAGATGCCACACGAGCTGCAGAATGTGGAGCTGAACGCGCTGAGGCGTCTGAGTCTGAAGGTGATGCTGTCGACGCTGTCCACATCCAAGAACAGCAGCAGCACGAGTGGTGGTCACACGAACGTCGCGTCCACCACCAAGCCCATGTGCGCCTATCCCGGTGTGAACGGTCGCGTGAAAACGGCTCTTCTGCCGATCCGCCATCCGTCCTTACAAAGCGTCTAGATAGACCACACGCCACAACAGCCGTCTCGTGGGACTCTCGTGTTCAAGCTTACTTTATCGTAATAGTATGCATTACAGCTTTTTGTATCGGGAGACGAGCGCGTCGTCTCCTTGGCCAATGTTGTGATGGAAGTGCTTCGATGGCATGTCGCATGTTTGTGGGCGAGCCGTACGACGGCAAACTCATGGTGGAGGTGGTTGTGGCTGGTTTGCAGCAGCAGCAGCAGCAGCAGCTGTTCAAGTACCGACCAACAGTTTGTGCCGAAAGGGCGGTTACATACTGGATGGTAGAAACGAAGAAACATGTTCCACGCGCAACAACAGCCAGTTGGTGTGTGGATACGTAGAAGCGCCGCCGCGACTACGCAGCGCGCTCTCGCGTTCGTTTCCTTTACTTTGGTCTTCGTGTTCGTCTATAGAGTGCGTTCTATCTCCTGTCGAAAGTGAAGGTGGTGGAACATGAGAACAGCGTCAAAGAGATGAACGCAGTTAGCCTCTGATTATGCCGCGCACGAACGCAGCAGGAGTTGACCAAGTGGATGCCGCGCAGTTGTCGGCTGGTGGACGAACTTTGAGCGCTGGTCCGTCTACCAGCCGATCAATGTACGACACGCAAATAAACGTGGCCACTTGCAGAAGCTGCAAACTGATGCAATGAAAATCGTGTAGCCATTCCGAAAAATCCACTAAAAACTACGATTACGCGACGTGTGCTGCACCGTCTGCAGTATTGTGGTGGCTCTCCTAGCTTACCTCTTCGGCAGGTATTGCACTAGCTGCTACATACTCGCGTCGCCGTAATGCGATTACATGTGTGACAAGCATTGGGCGCCAGTGAAACCAATGGTTGGCCTAGCTGAGCAGTCCTTTGTCGCCGCAAGCAGCGGCAAGCTGTAGCGCCTAAGCGAGCTTCATAGAGCGTGATACAGCTTTCTTCCATGCGACATGCGACAGTGGAGCGGCCGTCCAGCCCACGCATGCGCTGAGGCAGCCCATGGAATCCTCTGTCAAATCTGGGCGTGCGCTGCCGCGATGGAATTCCTGTTCAGTTGAACTTTTGCAGCAACTTCAAGGGAAAGTCAGGCGAACCGCTAGAAAGCACTTTTTCGCTCGATGCAAGCGACTTGGAAACACGACGTCGAAAAAGCGAGGAACAAAGCGGCAAAAAGCAAAGAACAGAAAAGTAAAAAACGACGGACAAAAAGCAAAAAGCGAGACCCAAAGACTCCTTTCTGCTCGTTCGTCCTTGCTGTCATGCAGCCATGTGTAGAAGAGGCAGTCACACACACGATCGATAAACCATCTGTCGAAACGCAACGTCTACCGTCGCATCTTTTCATTTCCGGCAGTTGACATCCGTGTGTACCCATCTCCATCGCGACCCGCTCGAGACCGAACGTGCCAGACCGTCCCTCGAGGAGGTATAAATACCAATGGATGGAGTGAGAGGGTGGGTGCGTCCCCCACACACGCACACAAACAATCGCTCTTCTTCGGAACAAACCGCAGCGAGTCACGCCAACTGGTCGAGCTGGACCCGCACGTACGCTTCTTCCCCGCGCACGCTGCAAGCTGCACTCCATCCACGACCACTGCCTTGCAGCAAACTACAGAACTGAGCGGCCACTCCGTCGACGCTAACGTTGCTGCGGCGGCGGCAGCTGCTGCTGGAGTTGGTGCTGATGGTACTTGACAACCGCGTCCACGTCTGCCCGCAGTCTCTCCAGGCTCGCTGCGCACAGACAGACACACGCATACATAGAGATTGCACCACACCGTCGACCGGATCTCAGTCAGTCAGTCAGTCCACGCCCATCAGCCAAATAGCCAGGAGCAGGTGTGGAAGCATACAGCAGCAGAAGCAGCAGCCACCCTCTCGTGTTCAAATGCTCTATAAAGAGCACGTCAAACAGGCTACGCACCAGGAGCCGTGAACCGGAACCGCGTCTGGAACAGCGTGTGGCACAAACAGCAGCACGACTCGCACCCGCCGCAGTACGCGCAGCGGAGCGACGGCATACACCGACACTTGAAGTAGCTGCGCACCGACTGGTAGCGGCGCGTGGCCGGTAGCACGCCCGTGTGGCCCTCGGAGCTCAGCACCTTGTCGTAATACGAAGCGATCGCGCGCGGCTTGAAGTGGTGCTGCTCCGGCTGCGCGTGACAGCGCAGACAGATGCGGAAGATCGGGTACGTCATGTTGGGGCGGCACCGACGTGAGTACACCGCGCAGCCCAGACACTGTTTGTACAAATTCGTGATTTCCCGCTTGCAAATGCCGCACGAGTAGTTCTCGGCGCTATCCACTGGTGGATCGCGCAACTCCGAGTCGACTGTCCGCCACATGCTCTCGTCGTCAAAGACCTTGCGGAACTCGTCACTGTCGTCGGTGTTTGATAACCCCAGCTCATATGCTTCTTCGACAATAGCGTCAAGGCAGGGGAGAATCGACTCCAAGAAGAGCACCATCTGGGCTTGCCGCTGGGCGACGACACCGCGATCAATGGGCGCCGGATTGGATGTGAACGACAGCAAGTGCGACGCGTGAGGACGCACGGAGATTAACGCTGAGCGCAAGAACTGACCAGTGCGCACGATAGCGACGCCACACTACGAAACGCCCGTGTACGTCGTCAGGTTCGCCCAGGCACACTGACGCTGAAGCATGAAGCAGCACGCACCTTAGCAGCTTCGACAATCACACGGCGAGGGTCAAACACCCATCCGTCCGAACACATGCTGGCATTCTTCATTGCAAACTTACAGAAGAAAACAGCAACAAGGAGTTCGTGTACACGGAACGATCAGAGTTGATGCAGTAGTGAGTGGATCAAGTAATGACCGATGCGTACCCAGCATTCGGTGGAGATACCACGTTGAGAAACTCCCTGGTAGACCCACTCCCATGAGAGGAATACACACGGCGCATTAATGGATCCACTGACGCTGTCTTTTTCCACAACACGCCAGAAGTGTTGACGGCCCTATCGTTTCAACGCAGCAGTTGTACATAATGAGTAAATCAACACAGCAGTTGAAGGGGATCGCACTGTCAGCAGACGCATGTGCATCGCTTGCTCTCTCTCGATAAGAAACGCACCTTGTTTACATGAACAAACTCTCCGTCTTGTAGAAGAACTGTTGAAAACGCAAAGCCTGCAGAGCTGCATCCACATCGTCCACACAGCAACGTTACCACGTGCCCTGGATTGGCCAACAATAGCAAGCGCACGTACCGAAGAGCGCGAAGATGCGCATCTAATAGCATCGTTTTCCTCACTGCGTCGTATCCTGACCGTCGCAAAATGTAGTCGAAATCTGCCTTGTGCTGTGGTTCGAAGCGCTCAAAGATGACGAGCTCCAGCGACCCCACCAATACCTGTCGGGTGGAAACACGAGCATGAAGCAAACATATCTATCAGCGCCCATTGGTGTGCAAGCATCCCATCCTTCTTGCCTGGTACGCGGTATCAGTGGTACCATTGCCTGGATCGTTCAGTGAGCCTCGCGCACCCGGGAAGTTGAAATGCAGTTTCGGGCTGAAGAACCTCTCGTGCCAACTATTTTGTGGGAGGTATTGCAACAAGCAGTGGATGCCACCGGCGAATACGTCCCATTGGAAACCCTTGATGAGGTCACTGTAGAGCTGTGACAGTTCAGCAGTCGCACACAGAAATATCAATCGTGTTGGTCAAGCCAGCCAGCAGAAAACAACGACGACCGTACCTGTGCACAGTGCTTCGCAAGCACCAAGTTATTGAGTGCAATAATGTTATCGGTAGCCACGAGGGTGAGCGTCTTTTTCGTGACGAGATCCTCCAGCACGACCACGTCCTTCCCAGGGACATTCGATAAATACTTTTCCAGATACGTGTTGAAAGATGCCACCGACAACTGCAGCTCCCCGACGTAAGCCAGTTCCGGCATGTCGGTCTCTGTGTTTCGCTTGAACTGGAAGTGGTCGAAGGCAAGGTGTGTGCTGTGACCGCAGCACTCGAGAATGAAGGGCCATGCCCATATATACTGATTGAGCTCGCTACTCATGCCTTTCACAACCAGGCTTACGTCCGGTGACTCGAAGCACCGGAAGAAAAAGTCGATCTCAGTTTGATAAAGCTTTGTAGCTTTGTCCGCGAAGACGGGCGACAGATCGATCCGGAAAACATGGTTGGCATCGTCGGAGTGGCAACTGAAGCGCTCGTAGATTTCCGACGGAAACGCGGACGGGTTATGCCATGGGACGTTAAGCGTGTTGCGGCGCACAGAGACTTGTGATGAGACCTGTGGCGTGAACCGCCCTTGAGCACCATAGTTGTTCATATTCGTCGGTGTGCCATTTCGAGTACCTAGCGCTGGATCAGCAGGTCGGGAGTCGGCATACAACGTTGAAGGTGGTGCCGGCCCAACTGCTGCCCCGTTATAAGGTGACTCAAAGCCACGTCGAAGCGGGACCCGTCCGTCTTGTATCTGCTGCTGTGGCGGCTGCAAGCCGGGAGAAAGCCGTTGATGTACATCCGCTACAACCGGCGACCTTCTTTCCGATGGACGTCCGTGAAAGAAAGGAAGCTCTGAAGTATATCGGGAAGCAGCTTGATGCGCGCCCGGATCTTCTCGCGGTACTTGACGCGGGTCTATAACTAAGTTTTGTCCGAGGCGTGACGCTCCAGTCGCCTCAGCCCCTGCTTGGCTTGACGCGGCCATCGAAGTGTACGTACCACCAGTCAAACGGGAAAACTGTATCGAAGAGGACCTCGCCAACGTCGGTGGCGCGTTGCAAAAGTGACTTTCCTGCTGCGCGTCAATCTCCTGCACTGATTGATGGGAAGCAGGAGACAACGCTCTTGAAGATGACCGCAACTTCCTGCCATCACGCTCATCTTCTTCTTGGACCGGTGTATTACTATTGCAATTGTTCCTGCACGTCGTCGCTGTAGTCTGCAACGGGTACATCACGCCGCTTCCATCCGCAGAAGTAGCGACGGGCGTGCTGTCTCCACCTTCTCCAGCCATCGACAACGACTTCAGCTGGCCCCCACCACCACTCTCTTCCTCATTGCCATCCTCTTCCAGCACTCTTTTTGTACCTAGACTGCGTCCCCTCCCTCGTCCCCGTCCTCGTCCACGTCCCCTCCCTCGTCCGCGTCCCCTTCCTCTCCCCCGTCCAGCCCCCACAAGCAGCAGCTGGCGATGTGCTTGCAACCGGTCGGACTTTTCCTGGAGCACACTCTGGATCTGCGTCGCGAGTCGAGGGAAATCCCCATGACGAAAGATCGCGTGCTGCTTCCGCTGCTTCTGCTGCTTCTGCTCTTGATTGTACGACGCGTAGCACGCGTGACGACAAAAGAGATTGCACTCCTCCGGCGGCAGTGGAAGACTGGCGCAATGGGCGTGGAAGTGGTTCACACAACTCTTACAGCGCACGAGTCGGATGGTGGGATTGGCTTCGAGGCCGCAGAGCACGCACTGCAGTCTCGCAGTGGCCGCGGTCAGGAGCTTCTCGGCTGCGGCGCTAGTCCCTGCGTCGCCTTTGCGCGTCCGGGAGCTGCTGGTGTTGGACAGGTGGTAGGAATTCCGAGCGGCGGGCGTCGCTTGTGGAGACGAGTCCTGCGTACGCGTCGCCATGCTGCGGCGAGAGGTCTGTTTCTTGTCACGTGTGGTACGCGTGATGTAAAAAGAGCTTTTTTCGCTGACGTGCACGGGAGAAGCGCGTCAGGATAGAGGAGTCGGTGCGATAAGTCGTGGTCAAATAGCGAGACGAGACGCGCTGGCGACTGTATTTTAGCAAGGGGAGCGCTATCGCTGTATTCTCTGAAGTAAGTCTTTTGGCCCGTTAACACGGCAAATAGCGGCAGCGCTGACGAACACGCAAATAAAGGGTCTGGAGCGACTGTGGCGACATATTTTTACATTTACACACACACTTTAGCTCGCATTTTTTTATTGTAAAAGGTGGCAAATTAAGCTCGTTCCGGATAGCCAGCTGTTGCTGCCACAATAAGGACATCTTATGTCGCATGTCTCACTTATGCCCATCACGTGCGACGTGCGAGCGAGGTGTGGTACTCAGTAAGTGAGTCCCTCGCAGCTTCTTCGCCTCATCGACCCCTCGCTGACGCCGGCCGTAGTCGCAACGATGGTCTCGCCTTCCCCTGGCCCCGCCCGATGCAAACTCGACATGGACGCAGACCCTGACAACGATGACCCGCCGTCGGTTCAGAGCCTCCTGCAAGAGGTGACACGGCTGCAACAGGTCGTGCGTGATATCAGTCCCGACGATGACTCGGTGTTTGTAGCCGAGTGGTCGCCGCCTCAATACGGACAGAAGACGCGTACAGCCAGTGGAGGGTCCGACAGCTTCTCTCCATTGGGCATCTGCTCACGAACTAGAGTGGCTACACTTGTAGGTAACCTGTCGCCTCACCAGAATGTCGGGGTTATGGTGCGCGGCGGGGCGTCCGACAGCTCGGTGAATGGACTGACGACACCGCCTACAAAACGACGGGAGCGACCTGCTGTTTCTCCTGTAGTGCCACGTCCGATACGCGTAGCATCGTTAACGAAAGAGAACATTTCTCTGCTGCCGACGCCCAGAGCTCCGACCTTTGCAGGCTCTGTGTGTGGGTCACAGCAGTCCCGCGTGAGCATCCGCACGGAAGGCGGCGGCACGGTGTTTTCGCGGCTGTACCAGCCCGATTTCTACAAGAAACGCGAAGAGAAGTTCCAGACCATGCGCGACCGCCGCGAGAGTTTCCATTGCTCGTTCACACCGCGTACGAATCGACGCGACTCGATTTCGTCACGAGATTCGGTCGACACGGAGTCGCAGGCGTCCATGCAGTCGGCAAAGACGGACGTCATGAACGTGTCGAGTCGTTTGTATGATCCAAACTACGTCCGTAAGCGTAACGCACGACTGCAACGCATGCGGCAAGAACGGGAGATGCGGGAGTGCACTTTTACGCCTGTGATCAATGGTAAAAAGAGTGTTCTGCTGCACTGATCAGCCCGAGTGTTGAGCCATACTGGACGAGATTCGAGCACGTGTGTCAAAAGAAGGAGATCTATCCAGCTTTGTCAAATATTGAATACGCGGTGGGCTACTGCCGACCCTGTACACCTTATGAGATACCTTCTGCTTGAGTCTACTGAACAACGATTTTGCGGACGTGCGACACCGTGCATTTGTGAATCAGAATATTGAATGATGAAGTGACGCCGCAGCCATTTTGCACATCGGATGAGAAGTAAATGGTGGCTTGAAGCCTTGGGCACTACGATAGCGGTTACCTTCCGAGTCAAATAGAGTCGAGACACTCGGCTTTACCGTGAATGTTTAACGCATCAAAGCTGTGAGCGGGGTGAGTGGGGTGTCGCTGGTTCTCATCCTCCGTTTTATCATCTTCACCGCAGCGAATTAAACCACAGCATCGAGGTCGTCCTCTGCTTACCGCTACTTCCGACGAAGATCAAATCAGGCTCCATCGTACCCCTATATGACGGTACATCACACCTTTTAAACAGCTCGACAAACATCACAACTTTATAAAAAAAGCGCACACCAATACTTCCGACTATTTTTCTGCGGTGCAAAAAAGCGCGTTTTGTGCCAATCATGCCGCCTCGAAAGAAGCCCTTCAGCGGGAAGGCCAAGAAGCAGCAACTGCGTGACGCTCGGACCCGGAAGCGCGACGCACGTGACTCCGATGAAGATGCAAAGGAACTGACCCAAGAAGAAACCGCAGCAGCAGCAGCTGTTTCTCCGGCGCCACCGGTAGGTCTTTAAGGCATCAGAAACCTCATTTCCCTCATATCCGAGTCGGGGTCATCATAATGGATACAATTGCAGGTTATTTGTGGACGAGGTGATCTCCGCACGGTCTTCCAGAAGGAGCCCCAGGCTGCTGTGGATGCTCGAAAACAAGACGCGACGCGGGAACTCGTGTATGCAGATGATCGGGGCAATTCCCAGTCAATTTACAAGTACGGGATCCAGGATCCAGCCAACCAGCCGCACATCTTGACCAAGCCCGAGTGGTCCCGGGACATGACTCCAGAAGAGCTGAATGAGGTGGATCGTCGAGCTTTTACAGAGTGGGTGGAGTACCTGGAGAAGGAGACGATGAGCCGTGGTGAGGAGACGCAGATCAACTTGTACGAGAGGAACTTGGAGGTCTGGCGGCAGCTCTGGAGAGTGGTCGAACGGTCCTCGATTCTCGTTCATCTCGCCGACGCTCGCTGTCCGTTGTTGCACATCAGTGACCAATTGATGACGCACATTCGCACGAAGTTCCCGTGGAAGCGCGTGGTGCTGGTACTCACAAAGACGGACTTGGTTGCAGCTGAGCGTGTCGAGATGTGGTCAAGGTACCTACAAGCACGGTATGGACAAGATATCCCCGTGTTGGCTTATTGTCGCGACACAATGGAAGAGAGCAATTCTGCCCTTATGCGAGCCATCGGTCAAGTGAGCGCTGGTGTTGAGCTTCATATCGGTACGGAAGACTTCAATGAAGATAGGGACAAAGACACGCTCACGATTGGATTCGTGGGGGAGCCCAACGTTGGCAAGAGCTCTCTACTCAACAGCCTGTTTGAACGTAAGCTCGTCAGCGTGTCGGCCACCCCTGGTCATACCAAGTACTTGCAGACGCACTACTTTGACCGTGTGGAGATGCTCGAGCGCGGTGATGATGCATTTTCCCGCATCCTCATGTTTGATTGTCCCGGCGTGGTCTTCCCCCGCTTCAACGTGCCGGTTCTGCTGCAGGTTTTGTTCGGCAGCTTCCCTATCGCCCAGACGCGTGAGCCTTTCAGTGCTATGCGCTTTATCGCCGAGAACTGTGCGCTGCACCTTCATGAAGTGTACAAGTTGAAACCCGTGGAGAAGGACGACGACGAGGAGTGGAGTCCTTACTCGTTGTGTGAGTCTTACGCGCAACTTCGCAGCTTCCGCATGAAAGGCGGCAAACTGGACGTGCACCGCGCTGCGAATTTTTTGCTACGGGATACACTCAACGGCAAGAAGGTGGTTCTCTCGTTCCCGCCGCCGGCAGATACCGAACTTGTCCCAGTGAGCTGTTGACATGTCACTGCAGCCAAGTCAAGCAGTTGCCCACGAGGTCACGCGCGTGTGCTCGGGTATCGCTGAGGTTCTAAACAGGGTGGACACCATGTCATGCAGCTGTTCAACAAGATCTGTGAGATCTGCTTCCGGGTACTTGCAACGGCAGTCGCTGAAGGACACACTCAAGACGTATGCAATAAAAGGCACTGCTCTGTTGAGCTGTTGACCATGATCGTCATTGCACACATTTGTTATTCAATAGGATTTCCAGAGTCATCATGTTCACGGTACATCAATCACTAACGCCCTTCGTGCTCTTTTGAGCTGTTGAGTTGTTCGTAACCGACAGTAACCTCCGTTCCCTTCCGTTAAGAATATCCGACCACTCTGTCTCTTTCTATTATTATACAATAAAACCGCGTCTCCTTCCCCAATTTTAAGGTTCGCTCATGCTATCGGGAAAACTGTTCCGTCGAAGTCTCCAGCGCTCACTGAGAGCGCCCCAGCCGCCGCGTCGCTATGCGGTTACTCGAAACGAGAGCGAGTCAGTGGCACAAAGTCTTCAACAAGACGACGGGTGTAGGTGGAAGCGGCGCTGCTTACATGAGCTTCTGAGTGTCTGACGCCTGATGCTGGGTTTTCTCTGGTGTTTTGGATAGCGAGCTGTTGGAAGTGCGACCACGTCAGCAGCAGCTGCTCGTTCTTTTGCCGCAAGTGCGATGCTATTCAGCCTTTGAGCAAGAGATGCAACTACTTTGAGATGTTCAACATGCACGACCAAGCACGAGTGGATCTTTTTGACTTCTTTGGCACGTAGCTGACGCTGTGTGTGTTTGGTTGGTTGGTGGTTTTTGTGGGGGATGTGCGTAAAGTCCCAAGAATTTCAAACTGGAGCCACGCAGTATTGAGAAGACATATTGGAATCTGCTGAAGCGCCTGCATCCGGATCTATATGGCTCCAAGTCGGAGGTGTGGCGCATGTTCCTATGGTCTGATCGTTGCATGGTTGAAGAAATGCCTCATTCGTTGCTGGCTGTGTAGTTTGAACAGGAGCTGTCAGCAGCTAATGCTGCAGTCGTCAATGACGCGTACAAGATACTGAAGACGGCCAACACACGCGTCAAGTACTTGGTGCGTGTGTGGTACCTCTGCTTTCTGGTCGCAGAGGTTGTGCAGTAACGGGCTGGGGTGTAGCTGTCATTAGACGGAATCGACGCTCTCGGCGAGACTGCAAGTACAGCAGTGAATCCGGAGCTGCTGATGGAGATGATGGGGATCAGGTAGGGTGCAAGCACAACACTGGCATTGCTGATGGTGGAACTCGACTTGGTGGACTCAAGGTGTTGAATACAACTGATAGAGAACGAATCGCGACGGCGGCGAATGTCGACGTGTTGCATGATATCCGCGAGGAACTCTTGAACCGGATCGACGATGTGATCAAAAAGCTGGACGAAGTGTACGATAAGGACCAGGACTTAGAGGCTGCGAAAGGATACGCCGTCGAGCTTCAGTATACGGTCAAGTGCGTCGAAGAAATCGACCTCAGAGAAGAGAAGCTGGACGGATAGTCGGACAGGTTCCTTTCGACTTGATGTGGACGAAGACCACATAAACCACAAGCTTTTCATTGCATGGCTATCGCGATTGCTGCCTCGACCGGTATGTAACAATTCACGATCATCCTCCTGCTCTCTCCTCGTTGCCTAGTCTACCTATCGCCTGCCACCGCGCTGGCGAACACTCAGCTCGAGCTCCGTGTCGTTCACAAAATTGTAGTGTGCACACGAAAGGGCATCCTTGACGAATCCCATCGAGAACTTGAGCTGCTGCTTGTTCACCGGCATACCCTGTAACTCGGTCTATATCATCGAGCAAAGCAAGATGTGGTAAGACTAGGTACCACAACGGGACGCAGCCTGGACAATACGTACCGTCAGTTTTTCCTTGAGTGTTCGCATACTGTCCTTCACATCCAACTCTATCGCTAGCGTCTGTCCCTCTAGCTTCCAGTGAGCGTTGTCCGGGTCGTTCGGGACTTTCACAATCAATCGCACAATCCCCTGAATGAACGTGCACAAAATACACAAAAGGTTGGCACGACCAATCCATCCCACACGAGCAGCATACGTACCGGATGCCGACTAGCAAACTCCTTTTCCGGCAGCAACGATGATCCACCTGTACGCTGCCTCTTTGTGGCCGGTTCAAGGTCTTCGCCTGGGGGTCCACTTGCTGCTAAAACGCCAGGGGGCCCAGCACCGACACCAGGTGGACCATGGACCACTCCTGGTGGGCCTACGTTTGGCGCTCGCATGTGTGGAGGGATGAAATTGCCGGGGGCAGAACCCAAAGGCGCCAAGCCAGGCACTCCCATTCCAGGAGGCATCATTCGAGGAGGACCAACGCTCAGGGTTCCCGGTACCATCACGGGTGGTGGCATCATGCCAGGAATTCCTACAACAGGAATGGTTGTCCCTGGGTGGCCAGTCGCTGGAGCAGTCATACCTGGAGCCCCAGTCACAGAAGCCGGTACCATGTGGCCACCCGGCTCCAGGTTTGGAACGCTCGCAGACACCAGTTCTTGTTCAGTGCGCCCAGCATGCTCAGGCATTTGCTGGTTTCCAGGTGTCCCGAAGTCAGAGTCAGACTTTTCTTCTTTGTCAGAATCCATCTCCTCAAGATGTTCCTGCTGCTGTCGTTGCTGTTGCTCTGCAGCAGTCGGCGCTGTCGTCGCTTGTAAAAGCCGTGCTTCTTCTTCAGCTGAAGAAGCAAATATGTCCGCGCGTTTTGTAGCAAACCGCCGCAGCGAGTCTGCGATCGCCGAGCCTACCGCGTATGAGCTCTCTTTCTGCTTTTCCAAATGGCGCTGGGTTTCTTCGCGCCACTTTGGGTTCATCAGCAAAATGCGCATGTGTTCATTTGCTTCAGCAGACGAAAGCGTTTTACCATCGACACTTAACAATGGTTGCTGCGCTGTCGCTGCTGTTGCTTGCGGGATATAGTTTTCAACCACCTTTATATCTGGGTTTGACTCGTCGTCGTCATCGTCGACTTCCTCCTCTTCCATATCCATATCTTCGTCATCAGATGCCTTGCCTTCTCCCTCATCACGAGCGGCAGAAGCGCCCAAATTGTCATTATCGTCAAAAGTGATCGTCTCCACAACCACAAAGTCGTGCCAGTCAATCTGTGCCAAAGCGCGGCGCTCTGCATCGCTCTCTGCCGCCTCCTTGTCTTTGCGCTCCCGCTCGGTACGTTGCCACTCCATTCGATGCACGCATCGATCCAGCACTTGCATGCGCTCTACGCCTTCTTCGATCCTAGAAACACCACCCAACAGAAAAACCAATCGCAACACGCACACTGTGAATCAACACGCCACTGATAAAAGGCAGTACAACATACCAAAGAATGACTCATCACTCACCGCTTTATCTGCTCCTCCTGCTTGGCCAGTACCAGCGTATAACTTTCCACAAGTGCGGTAAAGTACGCAAACAATGGATGCGTCGGCTTGAGAAAGTCAAATTGTGGGTTCCGCTGCTCGCGCGTCGCTAACCCCGATAGAAACGAGCTGCCACTCAGTGCAGTGTATTGTGCCGTGAGGTACATGATCTCCTGGTCCAGTGCACTAAGTGCCGGGTGCTTGATAATAAACTTCTCCTCCGGTGGCGGCTCCAGCTCCGTCTCGTTGATCTTCTTGGCCACTTGTGCGGCCACATTCTGCACCGCCTTTTTCTCCACAACCACTTCACTTGAAGCGGCTTGCAGCACGTTGTTCGGTGCCTCTTGGACCGTCGCGTTCACATCCCGCGGCGTCTGTTCCTCTGCATGCGCTGCTACCTCCTCCTGCTGCGGCTCTCCGACCGCTTCTTTCTTCTTGGCAATCAACTCGCTCACCTTGTGCTCGTAGTACGCGTGGTACGGGTCCGACTCGCGCAGGAACGAGAACTTGGTCGACATGCGCTCGCCAACGATGCGGCTCTCGAACGCGCGCCCGTTATTCGCGACAAACTGCGCCGTCTTGTCCACCACGGCACGGATGTCGAGCGGGGGGTAGATGATGCCGGTCACGCGGCCCTGCACGGTCGCGTGCGGCGCTGGTGGCTGCTCCTCGAGCGGCTCACTTGCTGCCATGATTGATAATGAGGAGGACGAGGAGGTCTTTTGGTTGCGATGCGAGCTTAAGTGCGAACCTAAGCGTTTTGGTCGGCAACGGAGCTCATGGGTTCCGGGTCGTGGAAAATGGGCACACACAGCACATCGAATGGGTACCGGATGCTTTCGGCGCGATACCTTTTTGTGTGTCGAGTCTTTTTCACTTGCTTTTGAGGAGGCGTCTGCGATCGTTGTGTGCTGGTCGTAAAAGCGCTGACAAAAAATATGTCAATGAGTCGAGACTTGACTGGCGCAGATTGAATAGCAAAGAAGTGTCACGAAAGCCACGATAACCAATTGGAAGACTAGGGATTGCGTATCCTGAGAAATGGTCGGGATGGGGTGACGCCCTCCCGGGAAGCTTGAGCCCACATGATGCTAACTCAGGCCTTCCGACGGGTGCTTCACGGCATCCGTCAGTCTTTGATGGTTCTCTCCCTCTCCTCACCTCTCTCACCCCCTGCCGCTGGCCAAGCCGCCACGACACACGCAGCCGTGCACGAAGCCTCGGCGTCTTCTCGTAGGTACACTGAATGTTCAATCCATTGATTCCCAGCGCAAGCAATATGATACCTTTCCCAGGGATCTGTGACGTTTAAGATCGGCATCCTGGGGATTCAAGAGACTCGTATTGCCTTTCAGAGTGAACAGAAGGTCGGTACATAGCATCTCCTTACACTTCCATGCTCCGACCGTTGCACGGAACTAATATTGCAACTGCCCCCTATCTACGCCGGTTGCTTTACAAATACTGGGCCCAGTCCGATCGAGTTGGGGCTCTTCAACTACGTCTACCTAAAGCCCAGCAAGTGAACATCATGAGCGCATACGCGCCCCACATTAGGTATGCTGTTGCAGCAATTGACCGCTTCTACGCGGATCTGACCAAAGCGCAAATGTAACGGCGTACCCTTTGTTTGGGGTGCCGCGAAACTTCACGTACACTAGTACGTGCAGAGGAAGCTAATCTACTCAAACAGCTAGTTAGAGTAGAGGGTAAAACGAGGGCTTTATTTAATATAGTTAAGCTATCATTATAGCGTCAATCTTTATCTAGCCATATTAAACTACGTCATCGCATGCCGACAACCTGCTCACCACTCATCGCGCGCGTCTAGCAGCGATTGGTGGTAATCTATGGTTGAAATGTCTTTTATCAACCAATCTTTGAGCAGCGCATGAATATTATTGTGAGGGATAATATTCCTTCCATACTATCCATCTCGGATAATACTGGTAGGATATTGTCACGATAGACAATGTCCCTATTGACACCGTTTGGTGTCAATATCGTGTAACGAGCTACCCCGTCATATCACTACCCCCCCAACCAGCAATCACCCGTTGATTAAATGAGAATTGATTGGGACAGGGTGACCACTGTTGGATCACTCTGGGAAGGGGAGCACTTGTTGGTCAAATTTCATTCATTTGCCAATCCAACGCATGGTTTGAAAACCCAAGCGAGTTGCTACTGCTGCAGCAAGAAAGTCGGCTGCACGCATGGGTGCAACCGTACAGGATACTTCCCACGCCTCATCAGCAGGTATTTCGTCGCCTGTTGTTGTGAACAGTCCACGTGGTGAGTCACCACGTGCGACAGGTACATCTGCTGCGTCTGCAGCGAGTCCCACGAATCGTAATCAATATGAGTCTCGAAAAGAGCTCATCTATTCTGGCGTGTTGAATTATGTATCCGACTCGAAGGCGACACCTCACGCATCCGGATCACCCGGGGCGAACACTGCAAGAGCCAGGTTGACTGGCTCTGGTCAACGTGGCGGCATCAAGCTCAAGATCTTCGGATTGAGCGACTATTCCGACGGATCCTCGCCTCACGCAAGTCCATTCAATGGTAGGACGCGTGGTGATGGTGGCGATGCCTCTGAGCGTCACCACGAGTGAAGTAACTCGAGGGATCGGGGTGCCACTGGTGTCAGCGCTCACGCTGGGACTAATCAAGAGTCCAGGGACCGAAATGTTCTGAGCCACGCCCCTCAAGTGGAGTCTCCTTAAATGCCGTCATCCAAGGAGTCGTGCCGGTTGGCCAGCATGACTACCGATCGAGATCGAATCCCGTTGTATGATTGCAGGAAGATCTGCCCTCGTGATTCCAGCACGGAAACTATTTGTGCTGAGGAAGAACTCTTCATGGATGCGATTTTCAAACATCGGTGGTACAAGGTCATCCGTGGGATCGAGAAGGTAACGCCCTGTTACAAGGAATGCCTTCATCCATAGCATCGAGTGCAATGGCCGTGAGGCCTGGCTCGGTAAACTTGATGCAGCTCGCATCAGGTTTGAGAAGCAAAACAACCCAGTCGGGGTGCGATAAAAGTTGCGCCGGCCGTCAAGAGAGTCAGGATTACCCTGTCTCTCGTGGGGTGATTCGTGTCCAGGTTGCCTGGACAACTCAAACCGTGCCTATAGGGAGGCCTACCTCCCTAATTCCCCCTAAGGAGGGCGCGCATCTCTTCTGAGATGGCCGAAGGGATTGACACTTTGCATCCCTGTACTCACGTTCGGGGAGGTCGTTTTCCGACGGACCTTCTTCGAACGCAGCGGGTGGGTCTCGTCATAATGCTCGATGAGACCCAGGAGATCAACAATCAGCTGAGCACGAGTCTCCCAGCTGTCCCATGCAGGTGAATAGCCACACCAGCGGACGAGGTAACTCGTCCGGACGCCATTGACGTCGCGGTGGTGCATAGTAAGCTCCACCAGAAAGCGCTGACCACCTCCAGAGTCTACCGAAGGATGTGGTGGTGGCGGGAACACCTGATCCGGCTCGATGGTCGGATCAGCTTGATGTTCAGGAGCTGAACCGTGTAACGGAACAGTTACAAGATGATCTGGTTCATGAACGGACTCGGCGTTATGAGCTCCATGACCTTGTAAAGTAGAATTACAAGTCATTCGCGCACGATCGTTCGGACGATCGTGCCGCGTTTGCGTCCGCACAACTTGAGAGCGAACGTTCAACTCGTTCTCTTCGCGACGAGCTGGCCGCAGCTCGTCGAGACATTGCTCAACTGCGTAAGAAGGTCGCTTCGCTAGTCGACCAGACTGGCTTGTTGAAACGGGACCACTCGAAGGTGGTCTTGGCTCTTGACCGCGGAGGTGTTCTTCGCATCTCGAAACGGGCTCGTACTGAAAGTACGGGTGGAGACGTCCAACGTAAAACGTAGGATGCGTACGCATCCTACGAGGCAGTTCAATCGTGTATGCGTTGCCCATTCGGCGCAACACACGAAATGGACCGATATACTTGGGCAGTAATTTACTGCTGCCCACGTTTGTCACTGCGTGTTTCGATAGATTTACTGTAGACAGTAAAACTGAATCATCTTATTATTGAACGAAAGAACCTTTGCTCTTCCATGTTTGTCTGCATTTCTTTTCTTTCTGTCTATTGCATCTGCAATAGAGTCTTGAACGAAGCGGACAACCGCTTTGCCAGTCAGCAGAAATTCCTCTGCTGATTCATTCTTGTCAGCAGCAGTGCGCTTCGTGTGCACTGCTGAAAGAACGTTGTCTGCACCAGTGAGAGCGTCATCGTCCTCACTGTGGCAGTCATTGGCGATGCTGAATATACCAGCATCTTCGTCATCATCATCGATGTCGATCGCATCGACATCGGCATTCATCATGTCGACACCATTGTCGACGGGTGATGAGCAAGAACCGGATCGGGTTTTGTTCGAGCGATTCCACCCCCCCCCTCTTTGAACTAGAGCCACCCTCTAAGAAGGCGGGTAAACGTGGATGTCGTGGGCTATTCACGAAGATTGGTGTATGCGTTGTCGACGCATGCACCGAGTTGTTGATGGCGAATTCCGCCATCGGCAAGAACTCACTCCGACTCAGTCCAACTCGTAAACGAGTGGACATACCCACGAAGTATCTCTTCGAGGACGCGGTTGACGCGTTCCGTTTGACCATCTGTTTCTGGATGGTCAGAAGTCGACATTTTCAAACGTGTTCCAAGTGAAAGAAACACGGATTGCCTAAAATCCGCTGTGAAGTGGGGGTCCCTTTCAGACACGAGTTCAGGGGATATCCGTGAAGTCGGAAGATAGTATCAATGAAGACACGAGCACGGCCCTGGGCTGTGATTGACTCCGGTACTGCAACAAGATGTACCACCTTGCTGAACCGATCAACAAACACAAGAATGCCAGTATTCTTGTGAGCGTCTTTGGAAAACCCAAAGACGAAGTCCATCGATACGGACTACCAACACTCTGCCGGAATCGGTAGAGGCTGCAAGGGTGCGCGGGACGAAGGACTAGGCTTCACCCGTTAACAAACTTCGCAAGCGCGAATGTATCTGCGCACAAGCTCTTGCTGGCGGGTCCAGTAGAAGCCACGACTTACCGTGAGGTAAGTCCTTTCTCTACGGCGATGCCCACTTGTTATGGCATCGTGACACTCATACACTATGCGTAATCGCACATCAGTATGAGCGGAACGACGACTCGAGGTGTGTCGCCGTTGACTGCTGTATAGTACAGCAGTCCATCACGAGCAGAATACCGTTCGGTTGAAGAGCGGTATTGAGACAAAAAGATTTTCAAAGCTTGACTGCATGGATTAGACACGTAATCCATCAATCACAGAAGGGACTTCTGCGTATGCCTTCTGCACGTTGTCGAACAGATTCGACGACGGAACACTCACTGTTAGTGTCGCTACAGTGGAATCACCCTACTGTTGTGTTGAGCAGTCGACTGGAAATCGGGCCGACGCGAAAGAGCATCAGCGACGACATTAAGTTGTCGTGGTTTATAATTAACGGAGATGTTGTACTCCAAGAAGAAAGACAGCCACCTCACCATTCGTTGCGAGAGGTGTGGAATGTTTACGGCCGTGCGTAACGACGCATGGTTGGTACAAACGATGAAGGGCCTATCTCCTAAGAGATATATCCGAAAATAAGCCAGTGCATATTTCATGGCAAGGATTTCCTTGTCATGCACCGGATAATTTTGCTCAGCTGCTTGCAGCTGACGCGATTAGTAACTGACGACTCGCTTAACTCCGTCTGAAACGTGCTGCATTAACGCGCAGCCAATTGCAAAATCGCTGGCGTCACAGACCACATGAAATGGTCTATCCTGATCTGCAATCGCCAACACAGGCGATTGTATCAAGCTTTCTTGACACCTTTGGGGAAGTGCTGAAACTCAGCACTCCATGAGCACCTCTCGTTTTTCATTAGCAGACGAGGGAGACGTACGGTCATCTCGGCGTAGTTGCGCGAGTACTTATGCAAGTAAGCCGCCAAGACAAGAAACTTTTTGAAGTCCCTTGACGTCGACTGGCACTGGCCAGTCGCTAATCGCCTTAATCTTTTCCGGATCATGGCGTACACCGTTTTTACCCACGATGCAGTCAAGAAGTGGTATTTCGTTCGCTGCGAATATACACTTCTTGAGGCTCGTGGATAACTTATGCTCTCGCATTAGTGTACGAATATTCCCGACGCAAATTCTGTGAACCTCCACGCCCGTCTTTCCATCCATAGCTCGGCTATAGACGAGACGTCGTTGAAGTAACTCGATGCGAAATCGCGCACCGATCGCAACAAATTTGTAACACATCTGTTGAGCGTTGCAGGGGCATTAATTGTCCCTGTGGCATCGCTAGACACTCCCAGAGCATACCACTGGGGGTGCTCACTGCTGTGTACGGGATGTCCCGTTCACGCATGAGGATCTGATAGAATCCATCTATAGATCCATGGACAAAAGGTGGTACTTTTTGCCATACCATCAATGATGACGTCCTTCCTCAGTATCGGCGTTTGAGAGGTACCTTTGCAGCGTTCAATTTGTTCAACGCTATACTATCCGCCACCCTTCTGTGGCCTTTCGCACACAGGAGGTCGGAGAGTTGTTTAGGGATGTTGGTTTCCTCACATGACCAGCCGCTAAGCGATTGACAAAGAATTTGTCGATCGCTGTGACCTGTTCACGAGGAAGTGGCAACTGCTTCATGACACAGTACTTCGAAACGGATTATAGTTCGATCTCATGCCGAGTGCCTTTATCCTCAGGCAGATCGCATGGCACGAATTCAGAAAAACATCATCATTGAATTCAGCCAAATCCTTAAACAAAATATTTGCCTTTAGAGACTCCCAAGATTGAGACGTGTATCGCGCAATCCGAGTCTTCTCATCGAGGACACTCTCGTCCATCGATAAGCGGTTGAGAACCCGTTAGTTCTCAGCAAACACTTGTGCCGACCGAATATCGGCGACGTACTCGTCCTCAATGACGAGTACTCAGATCTGCTTGATCTTGTCACTACACAGATCTCGCAAGAATCTTTTAGATTCTAGCGTTGGCAACTTGATTACCTCCGAAACTGACTTCAGAGGTATAAACAGATCAAGTGTGTTAGAGCCTACTATTGATCCGTCATTCACCAAGACATTCACTGTCTCGGTGATATCCTGGGAAAACACATCCGCAGGTAGTTGGGGATCCACACCCTCAACACAACTCTCTCGGGATTTATGACTCTCAGGAACGCTGGAACGTTCTTAGAATACGTGTACTGACTGTAGGGTGCACTACCACAGTCATGTCCTCTTCGATCGACTCTCTTTCAGTCGATCGGGCTTGCTCTACGATCGACTCTCTGTTAGTCGATATCGCTTCAACGTTTTGTTCATCCTGAACAACACTAATCTCTCTTCTTGGACGCACCCTTCTTAGTGCGCATCCGTGTTCCAATCCGCTCGATCTCTTCGAGTGGTGAACCTTCGGTGCAGCCTGTGTCTCTACACAGGTGCCGGAAGATGGTTTCACAGTGTAGTGACCTTCTACACTGTAATCTTGTGCAGTCATACGAACGACCGTACCACAAGTGAGACCATCGCACTCGCTCGTAGTACATCCACACGCTTGTGGACGCCCCAAGACGTTCATCGGATGGCCATCTGATCGACAAACGGCAGTCATCTTCATGGATCGATGCTGTCAGCTGACCCCTGGCTGGTATTTTATAAGCCTGGCAGACCAAAGATGACATCGAATTTATCATCCAAATTTAGTACGATGAAGTCATCATCGTACTGCTTTCCTATTAGCGTGTAGTGGAAATCAACTACACGTTTGATCACTGTTACGGATGCGCCTGTAGCAAGTCACACCGTCATCCTCGTTGGAGGTAACTCTCGCTCAACATAGTTGAGTCTACTATTCTCTAGCGACTGGCATCGAATAAAACTGTTCGACGCCCCACAGTCAACTAGGGCGCGAAGTGAAATTCCACTTGCCACTTCGATCTTCAAAGTGACGAGTGACCCCTCATCACTAGGGGCAGTAACACACAACGACTGTGTGTCGGGGGCAATCTTCGTCAAAAGTCCTGCAAATTCTCGTGACGTTGCTGGATCAGCAGGGTGCTCCGCACCTACTGACCCTGACCGTTTTTTTGCGGTCCAACTTGCTGTCGCGGTTTAGCAACATGGTCAATTCCGCGCCTTAATTCTTTCCTCGGCCATCAGTGGTCATCACGTCCTGTCTTTAAACGTGTTGCTGTCTTGGGACACTACACTCATGGGCGTAGTGCCCAATCTTCTGACAGCGATGGCATATTGCCGTCCGCTTGTGTCTCAAAGAGCGAGAGTTCTCGCTTTCGATATAGCAGAGGCCCATTGGTTCGGGACCTCCTGTTTCCTGTCGTCTCGTCGGACAATAGTTTGACGAGTTAGCCTGAGACTGTCTCAGGCTGAAGTCTTCTTGTTCCCCATATGCTATCGCCTTTACAGCGTATGGAAGTTCTCTTGGAACATGTAGGTCTTCACCGCTCCATTTACAAGGTCATAGATGAACACGTTGATGAGCGTGTGCTCATCAACAGTTTTTTCCGTGACGCTACTCGCAAGGTAGCGTAGATGTTGTGCGTAAGCATGCACATCACGCCTACCTTGCTTGAGCATCAGGAGTGCAGTGCGTGCTCTGAACTCGGCTCGTGGCGGCTCAAACGTCTCTTTGAGCCGATACTTTAAGATCCCTAACGACTCAAACACGTTTGGGTCATGAAGCTTGAGCCCTGAGGCCCAAGTCTTTGTTCATCCCGTCAAATTTGACAGGTAGAAGGTGACTTAAATCTCGTCACCCTCGATGTGACGGGCCCTGATGGCGTCTTCAACTGGACGAACCATCTAAAAAGGGAATCTTCATCGGTTCCCTTGCACCTTGGGATATCTATCTTCAAGGTTTCGGGTCGACGCATGTGCGTAGGCGCGCCCATCGACTGTTGAGAGCCATTATGGTGCAGCAAGGCTATCTTCTGTCATTCGACGGCAAGGTACCCTTGTAAGAACTTGTTAATAGTAGCATGTTGCTGGTCTATGTTTAGAGACTCCAACATGCCACTGATGGCGGGTTCGCCCATGGTCACACTCATGCGGCCGACTACCTCCCATTCTGAGTCACTCAGATGGGAGTAGCCTTTACGTGTGACGTGGAAGCTGTGTCTTCTACGCCCAACGTGCTCATGTTGGACGGACACTAAGCAGTCGTTGGACGGACTACGAAACGCTACCAGGTGTAACGGGGCACCTTTTGTTGGGGTGCCGCGAAACTTCACGTACACTAGCACGTGCAGAGGAAGCTAATCTACTCAAACAGCT